CGGCGGACCGCAGCACATCGCGGGCAGCCCCTTCAAGGCCAAAGTCTCTGGTGGGTTGGGTTATCCCTGTGATCTTATTGCTTACTTTATTGTCAATCTCCAAATATGTTTGTACACACAGAAAGATCGAAATACTGTTTCCCACAGTCCCGAGGTATAAAATAACACATTAAAATACAATAACTTCTACTACTGACGTTGTTTTGACAGTCGCACCATAAAAACTCTTCGTCATAACTTCAAACTAACATCATGAGGGAGAGGAGGGAAAAACTGTCCAAATGACGACTCTGTTTTTTCACGAGAAACATCTTCCTTGTACTCTCCGTAAAATGAACATCTCATATAAGTTGAGAACATCAGCAAATTGGGAAAACATCTTACATTTTGGGCATTGATCGGTAAAAACTAGATCTAAAGTTAATGTATGCGTTTTATTTGCAGCCTTTATTGTTAGATTGAAATATGGGTTGGTAGTCGTTGGTTTGAAAAGTGTGTTTGCGTCTCCCTTCAGGTCCTCGTCTCTCCGGCGGACACAGTCTTCACGAAACGTCGTCCGTCCTCGTGGAAACCGTCTCGAAGACCTCCTCGATGGGGGGGCCCTTCGCCTCGTTACCCAAGTTTACTTCAGACGCCAGTAAAGTAATCTCTCGAGGCTCCGGACTCTCCAAGGCCTTCGTGGGTCAGAAGAACACGTTCACGGTCGACTGCACCAGCGCAGGTGAGGAACAACCACTCAATAATAAACACAAATAACTCTGTAGTTACAAAAAGTGTGGGAATATTAAGGCATTTCTAACCCTCCAGAATATTTGACATATTCAGACATTAAATACATTTTTGAAGCTTGTGAAGACGGGGCGATGACCATCTCTCTGAAATGATGAGGGACAGGCTGACAATAACACTATTATTACCTACACTAGTTTGTAATATGTTTCATATTGCACTGCGATTGGGATATTTCACGACACCATAATGCAATTTCAGTTAAACCATATGTAGCACAGATTTAAATTGTCTACAGCAGATTTCTACATCCTGAATCTCCCCTCCTGTCTCCTGTCAGGAACCAACATGCTGATGGTGGGCGTCCACGGCCCCAAGGCGCCCTGCGAGGAGGTTTACGTGAAACACATGGGCAACAGGATGTACAACGTGACGTACACCGTGAAGGAGCAGGGCAGCTACATCCTGATCCTGAAGTGGGGCGACGACCACGCGCCCGGCAGCCCCTTCCACGTCACCGTGCCCTGAGCCTGAAGCTCTGAAGACACAACGACTGAAGACACAAAGACTGAAGACACAAAGACTGAAGACTGTCCACTTTCTGTTTCAGACCACAGCCCTCACACTCTCTCTGCTTCCCTCTTCTTCATCAGTTAGCATCTCGTTAGCATCAGTTAGCACTTCATTGGCCTCAGTTAGCATCTGGTTAGCATCAGTTAGCATCTCGTTAGCATCTCGTTAGCATCAGTTAGCACTTCACTGGCCTCAATTAGCATCTGTTTAGCATCAGTTAGCATCTCGTTAGTATCTCGTTAGCATCAGTTAGCACTTAATTGGCCTCAGTTAGCATCTGGTTAGCCTCAGTTAGCATCTGGTTAGCATCAGTTAGCATCTCGTTAGCATCTCGTTAGCATCAGTTAGCACCTCATTGGCATCAGTTAACATCTCGTTGTTAGTATTTTGTTGCTCCAGTTACTAATGTTTAGATTCTAGTATTTGGTGCCACGAGTAAACACCTCGTAATTACATAATATTATATAATCTTCCGGCTTCAGGAACTAGCCTAAACGCTGAAATGTGTGTTTAGTTGATCTCAAACTCGACCACTGACCTCGGACGGTATCAGCTTTGCTCTGATTGGATGAAACTCTCAGGATTTCTCGGGATATTTCTGGATAAGCTGTGGCTGTGAGAGTGTGTATCTTCCCGTCAGGAGTGTGTGTTAAACCCAGTGTGTTGTGACAGGAAGTGATGTCGGAGGGTCAGATGTGACTTCAGATTTTATTTATTCTCAGACCCCCCCCTCTCATCTGATTTTCTTTGACAGAAAATGGTCAACGAGCCGGATGATGATTTTGTATTTTTGCCACAGGAAGTCGTGCGGTGAAGCGGTCGTTTTTTTTCGTGGATGTTGCAGAGAGACGGGATATTACAGAGTGACATTTTATAGTGATTTTTGTATCAGAATAAATGAACTGTTTGATATGTTATTTGTGATTAATAACCCCCACCTGGCGAGATTGTGCAGGCATAATAAAGTTTATCGCTGACTTGCCACAAAAAACACGACTGATGGTCTTCATTTAATTAAAACACCTGAATAAATCACGAGTTAAATCACAACCTCCTCAATGTGTGCCACAGATATATAGCTCTACCTGAATCACTCTTATAAACATGTTTTTTATTTAATGATTTAAATGATATTTTCTAATTACTTGTATACTTTGAGGTTTAAATGGAAATCATTTTCTGATTCACCGTAATTTTTATTTGAATGTTTATTTTGATTAAAAGTGGCAATTATTTAAAAAAACAAAAGCAAGTAAAACAAATATATATGAAAATTGTAAAAGAAAAGAAAAACATGATAACATTATCTGAATTAAAATAAAATAACTCGCTAGTTTAATAATAAAAAATAAGATAAAGAAAATAAAAAGATGAAAGTAATTAGTTGTTGCGAACATGAGCTAAAAGCATAATCAAACAAAATGAGGAGTTCTTTTCAGATGAGTTGTCGATGTAGAAGCAGGTGAGTGCAGCTGCTGAGCAGCAGGGGGCAGCAGAGACTCATCACACTGAGTCCAGCAGCAACATGAACACTGACAGATCATTCAAATACACTTTAATGAGAGGAAATAAAACCATTAGGATTAAACAGAGAAGATGTATCTAAAGGTTAATATGATTTAAAATAATGTTGATCTTAAACAGAAATGTCTACTTTAAAGAGTCCTCTCCTGCTGATGTTCAGGTGTATATCAGTATGTAGTGTCTCTACTTTAAAGAGTCCTCTCCTGCTGATGTTCAGGTGTATATCAGTATGTAGTGTCTCTACTTTAAAGAGTCCTCT